GGCCACATGTGGCCTGCGGGCCTTGAGTTTGACACATGTGCTGTAGAGCGAAGGCTATCGCCGGCTTCACTGTTTTTGCTATGTTTGATTATAATTCAGCAAATTTCCCCAACATCCATTATATTTACAGTATTTTCTGTCTTAAATTTCAGTCAGTGGCATTAAAAAGGTCTTTAAAAGTCTTAAATTCAACCCCTGAAGCCTGCAGATTTCCTGTGTATATTGGTAGATGTTGTAGTGAGTAGTGAGGTTTACTTATCTGACTCTGACCACATGCAGTGACTTCAGCTTCCAGCAGATGGCGTTACTGGTTTATTTCTTTAAGCTTCATACCTGTGTGAAAGTCTTTCTCCAGTATGAAGCAGCTGAAATCCTCTTGGTGTTTCCCAGGATGCCATGCTCTTCGCTGCAGAGTCAAAGGATGCCGAGCTGGCAGAGACTCTGCTGCAGTGGTTCCTGCAGGAAGACAGGAAGGAGTGCTTTGCCGCCTGCCTGTTCGCCTCCTACGACCTCCTCCACCCTGACGTGGTGCTGGAACTGGCCTGGAGACACAACATAATGGACTTTGCCATGCCCTACTTCATCCAAGTCATGAGAGAGTACCTCACTAAGGTTAGAGCTGAGCAGAGATTAAAAACTGATTATCGTTGCTTACAGTAAAGTAGATGTTTATGTATTTTTAGATTGTTTCAGCACAGTATTACTGCACATAAAAAGTCTTAAAATTTTCTGTAAATGCTTGCCTTGACAAGTCAGATTAAAAAAAAGTTATTAGAATAGCTACACTGAGACAAAGAAAGCAGAACTAATTGTTATAATGTTTTGCTTGTAGACATGTTCAGTCATCTGTCTGGGTTCTTTTCCAGGTTGATGAATTTGCAGCAAAGGTGATGGTCTCTGGCCCTCTTTTTTTTCTAGAAATGTGTTCCGTTTGTTTTTATGTTGTAACACTTGTAGGAACGTAGCATGGACTGTAGTCTAAGCACGACCTAACGCGCCCGGTCCCGGACAGCTGTGGTTTCAGTGTGCAGGCTTTTGTTCCACTTCATCATCCACACATTTCAATTTTACCAGCTGGAAAACAACAGACTCGAGCTTGCTTTGAGTAGTAAAACAAATAAAAAAAGGAAATAAAGCAACAAACTGAATGTCAGTACATATTAACCTAAAACGTATTTTAATATTGTGATATTTATGCATAAACTTTTGCAAAAACGCTGAATAAATAGTAGCTTATTGAGCAAAATATTAGACCTTTTTGACTGTTTTCCTCTTCCCAGTTAACACATTTTGGCTGGTTAATTACTCTTTCTGTCTGCTCAGGTAACCAGTCTGTAAACACGTTGCTTGTAGCTGAATTCCCAGCTGTACTTTTAGTTATAATTCAACTTCTGTTGGAGTCCAAGGTGAAGGAGCTGTCTATCAACCACCTGATTGTCACTGTGCAACAGTAGGTGGGGGAGAAGGGTGCTTTAATTTTCAAAACCTTTTTATATCTTGATTCAAGAAACTCAACAAGCCTGCTTCCAAATAGCAACTCATGATGTTGCCCGGAGCTAAAGCCTGTTCAGAATATATTTTTCTTCATGACCACACATTAGTCTATCCTGGCCTAACAAAAACCCTCTCACCATCTAACTTTGGATGTCATGGGGCTGCATCTGGTGCTAAGTGGTGTTTATTGAAATGTTGACTTGATAGAGTACGAAAAAAACAGACACCAAGGCCTCGTACACACATAGCTGAGTATTTTTTTAAAAATATCTCTAGCAAATTGTTTTTTAAAAAGTTATTTTCTACATACAGGATTGGTTTCAGAGAAGTTTTCATCCACATGAACCTGTACAAATCCACCTCTAAGCGTTGCTTTAAACATGCCAAACCCATAGGGGGCAGTGTAGTGCTAAGATAAAACCCATGTCAGCCAATCAGATTGCTTCAAAACAACAAAGACTTCCTGTTGAGAATTAAGCATGGCTTAGCATATTAGAATATGAAGTTAATAAAACACAAGACAGTGTCAATTGGGAATTATATCAGAGTAAGTATGTGGACATATTGGTGCATTATTTGTTGCAGACTAAAGTGGAGGACTCTACCTCTTTGTTTTCCCATTTTCATACAAAAATACAGACTTTTTTAAAAATGTCTTATTCATCAGTTTTTTTTAGTGATTTTAAAAGCAGTTTTGTGAGGATTAAATGTAAAAAGGCATAAAAATGTATTTATTTCTCCAGATAACCAGCTATGTGTGGACTAGGCCTAAATATTAGTTTTCTGAACTGATGTTAATCTCAAATCATCCGTTCTTCCTCTGATCTTCACATGTTTTTTTACGTTTCGTGCTGTAAGGTTACAGAATGGTTGGCTGAAGTCATCCCATCAATACTCCTCACCTCATCCACCTCTGGATGTATTTACAAACCCAAACCTCTACCAAATATCAAACATAGTCCAGGGTTGGGCAGCGACTGTGACGTCGTGATGTGATACAAAGCGAAGACGGCTGCTTAATATTCCAAACTCTCTGATCTGAGACCTTAAATGTCAGTGGGGGGTTCATGTTTGCATGTTTATTGCAGAGTTATGATGCAAAGGGGATGTTAGAAAAAAAAAAAAAGCACGACTCTAAAGCTTATTAGATGCAGCCCCATGTTTCTACCTGCAGGGAAAGATTTTAACTACAGGCTGCAAACAAACGAAGAGTGAGCCTCCTTTCTTCTGTTCCTTGAGAGGTCCTTTTTTATCCCCAGAAAAGATTAATTTAAAAATAAAGGGTTTGCACTTTCACTATCAGTTAGGTTTTTAAATGCCTTTCATGTGGATTTTAACCTTTTCAGTTCTTTTTTAAAAAGCCCTTTCTTTCTTTAGTTCTTGTAAAATTCTTTCTGATTGCAGTGCACCACTGTTTCATATCTAGCTGTAATGCAATTAGCACAATTTCTCCAAATAACTCTGAGCAGCTCAGGTTATAAAAACTGGATTCCTGCCTGACAAACATGAGCTTCTGATTTGTAGCCTCAGTTTTAGTTGATTTCAGAGGAATGTTTACTCACAGCTATGAATGAGATGCATGTTAAAGCTCTGCATTTTATGGTACTGAGGCTAGCTGGAAATGTGCCACCTGCATTTAGGCATGTATAGAGGCTCCCAATATAGAATATAATATTTCTGTAACTGTGATGTACGTTATAATCCTGCCTATAAAGGGCCAGTTCACACATACTTAAGAATCGTCTTTCTGTTTTTAGTGACGAAATTAACGACGCATATCTGAATCTTTTCCATTATAAATACCTTTATTGTTCCTTATAAACACCTTGCATTTCACTGATCAGTTTTTCTAGAAATAAATCCTGAATAAATAAATGTGTATTGTTTACTTGCAACTTTGGTGAGCTGACCCTTTATTTTATCCTGTAACATTTACACTGGAAGATGTCTTAGAGTCCTGCATGTCATCTTCTCCTCGGTAACCATGGCTACACAGTCAGTAACAGTGTGTTTGTAGCGTAATCTTTAAAAAGAGGTTGCGACAACTCGCAATTGAAACTTCATTTTTAATATTTATTCAGTGGACGTGAAGGAAAATGAGGGTATTTGTTGTTCTGCAGCTGAAGCTTTTGCAGTTTAAGTTCTCTGAGAGAAAAAAGAAGACATTTAAATAAAGTCTGTGCATTTCTGTGATCATAACAATGTAGGTGCTCTGCAAAAATCCTTATTTTAAACAACAAATTTTTTTGTTGCAAGGTAATCCAGCACAGTAAAACATTTAAACTACACATATACATAACTTTGAATAGAAAGATTTCTGCAGGATACCTTCAGGTTATGATCGCAGGCTGTTAGGACGATGTGGAGGATGTTTTGTTTTTATATCTCTACTCTCTGCTGCCCCCAGGTGGACAAACTGGAGGAGGCAGAAAGCCAGAGGAAAACTGAGGACGACGTGAAAGAGCCTCAGCCGATGGTGTTTGGTAAGTATAAAGTGAATCGACTGTGACCTTAAAATTCAACTCAATATATACAGATAAAAGAAATGTTATAATTTTACTTCAGGTAAAACTAGAATTTTGTATTAATTAATTGGACAAATTTAAGAAAAAAAAAACAAAAAACAGTTGGTTGTTTTAAAACCAAACTAGGATTAAAAATGCGTTATGCAACCTTTAAAAAAATAATGATCTTTTTTTACATATTTGTTAAAACTGTCATTATGTTGTAACAGTTTAGTATGAGACAGATAATGTGTGAAATAGTCTCCACCTCCTCCCAGTGCTAACTGCAGGAATACACCACTCAGTCACTCACAGCTTAGAGGAGATCGTAGCGCTGTCAATCAAGCTTGTGTACATTTACTGACATAAATTTTTATGTGAAACTGTAACAGGATAAACAAAGGAATACATATGGGTATCATTGCTGCGATAACAATGTTAAAATCCCTGCATACACCAGTTTTATACCCAGACTAGTGGTGTTGGATAGCTTAGAAACAGGCCGAGTTTACTACATAAACATAAAAACACACAATTTCTCCACTAATGTGTGATTAATTCAACTTATAATACTCAAAGATGTTGCTTTAGCAAGCAAGAAAGCGACATAAGCAGGGCTGAGGAGCTGCTTATAAAACTGTGCTTTCAGTTTTTCTACTTCTTCTCCTGCTTTTTATATAACTAACCAAGAAAGGACCACAAGATGGCATCATTTAGCAAAATAAGATAACATCAGCGAAACGGTGACCATAACAATGCTGCTCACACCCTCACCCTCGATGTCTTTTACGCAAAAGCAAGTTCCAGATAACAAAGCCACCAATGACGGTGATAAATGGGCTTTCCTTGAACGCTAAGTTCAAGGAAAGCCCTTGAACTTAGCGTTCAGCTATTAGGACATTTAGCATTGTGTACATGTGTGTGATTGACAACGCTAAGACCCTCTTCCTGGCTCTGATTGGTTGTTTCTCAAGAGAAGTGGCGCCTTTCTGTAGGTTGCAGTAGTAGCTTCAGGGAGGAGCTTGATTTATAAAAAATATATTGAAAATTGCGGCTTTTGTTTCATTGCAGACAGAATTTTGAAAAGCCAGCTTTCTGTGCTACTTTTTAAGTTTTATTTGTCCCTCAGTAACCGCAGTTCTTTCTGTGTTGCCAGGCCAGCAGCTGATGCTGACTGCTGCTGCCTCTCCTGTGGCGGCTCAGCCACCGTACCCAACTTACGGCTATCCCCCCGCCGCCGCTGCCGCCGCCGCCGCCGCTCCTCCCGCTGCCGCAGGTTACCCCGCCCAGCCAGCCTACGGCTTCAACATGTAAACGGCTCCAACTCCTCATCTTATTCCATCTGTCTCTCCTGGTTTCCCTTCACCTGACAAACTCACGCACACTTGAACTGAACCGCACTGCTCCGAGCCCCAGCTGATTCGGCGGAGGCTGAAGAGTCTGAAGAGTCTCCGCCCGCGCTCACTGAAACTGCAGTCTCAAGTTTCTTCACGCCCCGTCTAGATGAGTGGCCTCAGAGACGTTGTGAGGAATCCGGTGACCTCCCAGCCATTTTCTTCCCACTTGCATCACTAATCTAAACAGCATGAAGTCGCTTCTCAGCAGCCGGAGGAGCACCAAACCACTTCGTCCTCTTGCTGTTCCATGTAGACTTTAACCATAGAGCAGCTTTTGGTTCTGTGTTTTATCGCACTGATGAAAAAGAGACTTTTCTGAGAAGCAGCAGAAGGTGGGAGGCATGTGTTTGCTTCTCCACCTTCCTCTTGAAAGCACTGTTGCGGCCTTATTTAATCTAAGGAGGCGGCTTGTTTGTCTCACATCTGAATTCACATCCGTGTCAAGCTCTGTTCTGAATGACAGTCGCTGTGCAATCGTTCTGTGTCCTTTCACAGCAGGTACAAGTATTTGCAGTATACAGACTATTGACCACTTGTGAATAAGAATTACAGTCTGTGAATGAGTGTGTGTGTGTGGAGCCTTTGAAGCTTTTGTGGACACAATGAAACTTTCACCCACCGTAGATCTGATCTCATCGGTCGACTTTTCAAAGCCCCGAAAGTGGAAGTCCGGAGCGTCGGGATGGGTGAGACAAAAACTATGAAGAAAAGGAGGTAAAATCATAAATATGTGCATGTGCTGCCAAATAATAATACTGCAACCAGGAGCACAACTGTCATGTTACACTCAAGTATATCAAGTATTACAGATTTTGTGTCAAAAACAAAGATGTATAATAAAACCTTCCCACCAAATTAAAAAAAAAAAAAAAAAAGATGTGGTGAAGCTTTGAGTCTCAAGGAGGTGCCAGTTAGATAAAAAAACTGTACAATTTAAATGTAATGAAATTCCTTACAGATCAGAAGTAAAATAGTATGAAGCGCCATATGTATTGTCTATAATGTGTTGTAGTCCTAAAAAAGGTATAAAGATTTTTTTTGTAAGAAAAAGACAAATGGCCAAAAACAAAGCAGCTTAATAAATGGCAAAGTCTTGAGACAAGTTTTCTCAAAGTGGTTTTCATTTTTCTCAGCTCATTTATAGATATAAAGCAACATCTTTATATTCTGTATGTTGTTTATACTTTTGCATGAATTACTGCATCCATGCAGCAGGACAAGGAGGTGATCGGTCCAGGTCGCTAACCGTTGTTAGCTCGTCTGTGTTGTTGTCTGGTGTTTCTCTCAGTTTCCCGTTTCAGTAATCAGGTGAGTTTAATGGGGAATCAGCACAGTAACACCAGGATCCCTGAACCAGACGTTGGTGCCATTAAACGTCTCCATAAAGTTTATCTTGTTTGCAGAAGAAGGCATGAAGTACTCTAAAATTTCCTGGTACAGGACAGTGGAAACTTAAACTGGACCTGAAGCAGCTTGGGGTTCGGAAGAGGTTTAGGGCCACTGAAACAAAAAAAGTGACTTTTTCTCCAGATTCTGACTTTTTCTTCAGAAATCTGATTTTTAATCTCAGAAGACTCAAGTCAGAATTTGGAGAAAAAGATTTTTCTTTCATTGGCACTAATCCTGGTCTGTAGATCTCAATCTCTGAATTACACACATTGCGGAGCTGTATGAGCGACTTGCTTCACAATCTAATCCTGTCAAAACGGATTTGTTGCTTGTTCGTCCCTCTTCTGCTGTGCTTTTTTTCCTTCCACTTAACTTTTCATAAATATGCCTGGACACAACACTCTGAGCATCTTTGTGGCTTACTTTCCTTTTTGAGTTGGACAATGATTGTCTGCTGAACAACTTTCAAGATTGTGTAGGGAATAACATTATTTTGTGTAAAAAGTTTTTCATAGGTTCTACAGTACTGACACTTCCTGATTATTTTTTTGGGTTTTAGCTTTGAGGCATGTTGACATTTACTTGAAATATATCGTTCTGGTGCGTCAACTAAATCTGATTTATCTGTAATTCTCTTGAACATTAATTTTAAATTGGCAGAAAGAAAAATGAAGTTGACGCTGAAGCGGTGTCTATTCTTGTTCCTCATGTGATTTTTTTTTTTATTAACAAATGAGTTAAAATCTCAAAAGTGGGATGTTATTGTTGCGGCAGTGTGGTTTTACGTCGTAGATTTGGACCAGACTGACATTTTGGTAACTGAGCAACCAGGACATGATTGATGGAGAGTCTCCCAGAGCTCCAGCCTCTTTGTCTGGAAAGGGCGTGGTTGGATGTTTGTAGCTGTTATGAGATAAATCTGTTTGATTAAAGAAGCAAATGCTTAAATAAATGAATAAGATCAGAGCCCTCCACCTCTTCCTTCTTCTTGTGATAAACAGAGAGAGGATATGCTGAGCCCCACCCTCTTTTTTATTTCAAAAGAAAGTGTGCGTTTTCTCCCTTCCAGAAGAACGGCCACTAAATCCTCTTGTCCTGCTTCTAAAGTTCATGAATGTCACCGAGAAATTCATTAAAACACGAAACTAAATATTTATCCAACGTTACTTCCGGTGGGGATTACGCACAACCTTCTAGCGAGGATATTTCCATGGTGACAATCAACAGATATTGGAAATAGTCGGTGCCAACTTCCTTGACTGTATCCGCCCACTGTCACTCCTGATATCCGGGATTCTCCGGGCGCAGCTCAGATCACCTGCAGCCAGGGAGCGCACCAGCGGCAGCGCGCTTTTCCTTACTTACAGAAAAAAAAAGAAGAGGAGAAAAATCTACTTTGTCTAAAAAAAGCCCTCCATCCTTAGATTTGCAAGTATTTTTTATTTTAGATTTTACTGTCTAATCATGCAGGATAAAGGCGCATTTTTCAGCCCCTTTTGCAGACCGCGGTGTCTGGCGGCAGCGGCTCCGGCTGGAAGAGCGAAACTAACTCATCCTGGTAAAGCAATTCTGGCAGGTGAGTTCACGGCGACCTGCCGCACGGGGGGAGAAGGTGGTGGTTCAATTGAAGACCACAGGCTTTACAGCTTACAGAAAAAAAGTTACAGTCGTAGAAACGGAGAGCACAGTTTTTAGATACTCTGATTTAAGCCCGGCTCTGTTGAACAACTGGGTGTTTCAGTGTGAATATCCTGTAATTTAACTTGGTTTAAAAAAGCGGCGTAAAAACAAAGCAGAAAGTTATATTTCCAAGAGAAGTCGCTAATATTTATTATGTGTTGTTCGTGAGAACCTTTTGGGAAAATGAAGACTTCACACAGTTAAAAAAAACTTTAACTTTTACATTTTACACGTTTCAACAACAAAATTTAAGAAATCTAATTGGGATTTTAAGCAATAAATCAACGTAAAGTAGTGCATATTTTATATTGTTTCTGTCATTTTAACTGCAGTTAGATATTTGGAGGCATGTCTCAGAATACATGCTACATGAAACAGCTGAAAAAGCATGCAGTCAGATTAGATGGAGGGTGTTTGAATATAAAGTCTTACAACAGATTCTCAGACTTGGGTCTAGCCTTTGACTGGACCATTCTAACACCATTTGATCTAAAGCTCTGGCTGCATGTTTAGGGTTGCAGGTGAACCTCCACCCAGGTCTGAAGTCCTATGCAGCTGTTACCACATGTTTATCCAGGATTAGATTATTGCTAACTAACCCAACCTATGACCCAACAGCTTCAACCCAGAAATTGGGTTATGAAAATAACCCAGCATTTTTTACTGTACGCATAATTACTGTACGCGTTTTGCATATGAGCCACAACATTATCATATAATCTGACCACAGCATCTGCCAGTTTAACTCACATGTGCCAAACTGAAGGCATGTGGGCCGAATCTGGCCCACCAGAAGTTTTTATGTGGCCCTCTCTAGAAATGGCACCTTCAAAATGAAAGTTGTTTTTAATATTATTTCATATCAATTTAGTCTGCACGATACATACACACATTTCATATTCTTTAACAGTTTAAGGGGTTATCAATACTTTCTGCCACATTTAAAGACCTTTCTTGAACTTGATGTGGGCCAAAATGAAAATAAGTTTACACTCCTGGTTCAGGTGGGTCGATGTGGTAATTTCACAACTGTGCCATACTTATGGATGTTCATTTCCTGCTTTGAGCATCCATTAGGTGTTCAGATCTAAGGATATTCATAATTAACTTAATTCTGCTTTTACGTTCTCTTCAACTTCCTCCTGCTGTGTTGCTTCGTGATGCTGCTTGTTCACTAATGTTCTCCAACAAACCTCTGAGACCTTCATAGAGCAGCTGGGTTTACACTCAAATTCAATTACAAACAAGTAATTAATAACTAGGTGAGATCTGAAAACAACTGGTTGCACTGGATGTTTCCAGTACAACCAGTATAAAAGTAAAGGGGATTGAATTCAAATGCATCCATATTTTCAGATTATTTGTAAATATAAATGGGACAACATTCATCCTTTGCTTTGCAGTGCTTTACATTTTTTATGTGACCACTAAAGGCCTCAAATAAGATCCTGCAGTCTGAATAGCATTTATAAGTAAATTCAAGACCATCAATTTATGAGGCAAATACATTTTTGGTTACCAACTGCTGGTTAGTGTGATGAAAACGTACATAAGCCAGATGAAACGTTTCCAGATATAAGGTGATAAAAAAAAGAAGAAAATAAAATAATTCACAATTGTTTTCCAGCCTAAATTGAAGATGTTGCTCTTTGAAAAATTATTTTTAACTACCAGCTCAGCTGCTTTCTTCCTGTGTCCGTCCTTCCTGTCCCGGTTCGGTCCGACCTGCAGGGGATTCTGTTCATCCTTCCTCCTGTGCAGGTTTACATAACACCATTAGGGCAGCAGAGTGATGCAGCGATGTACAGGACATGGTCGCATCAGATGTTGAATTTTTGTTTCTTAACTTTATGAATCAGCAAAGAACCCTTTAACATCAATGCCAGGTGTTATTTCTCAGTTTTAATAAAAAGTTTCCTGTGTACTGTATTCACCCAAAACGTCTTTTTCCATTCAGCATGTTGGACTTTTATTCAAATTTTGGCAAAAATCAAGCAGCTCATTAACATATTTTGTTGTTGTATAGATGGATCTAGGCCTATTTTTCTGGACAATAAATTTTCCCAGAAATTATTGCAATAAATGACAAAATTATTGCTTTTAGATCATTTTCAAATATTATATTGAAAATAGCTTTATTGTGAAAATTAAAGTCCGATAAGTTTTCTTCACTAATTTAAATTCAACACTTGAATCTGGGATGTTTTAATTATTGAAAATACAGCATAGCAACTAAAAATGAGATAAAATGGAAATAAAAACCACACAACAGCCAAAACCATAAATAAAATAGATTATAAAGTCTGTAAACAAAATTACCCTTCAAAAAATATTAATAATCAGAATGGAAATTATCGAGCTCATCTCAGTTTATCATGCGACTAATTGCTTATTGCGACACCAGTTGGATTTATTGTTCCAGTCGTTTGTTTGCTTTCACAGTTTCAGAATAAATCTTTAAAACTCATAAATCGTAGCCAAAATAGTTCCAACTACAATATTTATCAAAAAGTCAGTAGAACTGATTTTAAAGACAAAGGTTTAATCAAATGGTATATATAAAAAAATCTAAGCAATTTCAGCTAATCAAATAAATTAATTACATCAGTTGTTATCATTCAGCGCCACCCAGGTTGTATTTTTTAAGTCGTATCTGTAATTAATCAGTTCAGAGCCCTGTGCGCTCCTCCCCTGCTGCCGACCTCCAAGTGTGATGATGATGATGATCAGGCTGCAGCAGCTCCTCCAGCTGATGAAGAACCTCTCTGAGATGCCTCTTCATCAAGGCTTCATGCTGACGTTGGCTGCGCTCTGCTGATTTCGACTCTGTGCTCTGCCAAATGTCACTTTCTCAATCTTTCATATTCCTGAATGAATTTCTTCTGATTGAAAACAAAAACAACTCATCTTGGCTCCAAATGCAACTTATTATACTCATTCCGAGTTTACTTTACCTCTGAGACAATAACATAATAAATAATTATCATCACAACATTGCACGTGCATAGAACTAAGACAAATATAGAATATTTAAACCAGAAACAAAAGGCTTTGAGCCAATATAAGGTTATTGCACCTAGAGGGCCTAAAATAACAAAATTAATTTAGTAAAACATCTTGTCTGCTAGTGCCTCTAAGTATCAGCCTTTTTTCAGCCAGCTTACCATCAGTGTGCAGAAATTGGTGGTAATTAGATATTATTTATTTCTTTTCGTTTTCTGTTTTTCAAACTGTTGCAAACTTGCTAAAGAAAACCTGCTGAACTTACAGAACCATCAGCAGGGTAATAATTTTCTAACAATGTTTCAGGACGAATGTAAAATCCGGATAATCCTGTTGGGTGAGTTTGTCTCCTGCAGGCCGTTGAGTGATGATAATGCAGTTTTCAGTACAAAGCAACATGTAGCCATTTCCAGCCACATGTAACATTGTATAAACTATGCATTCCTCAGAGATCTATACAGCATTCACATGCAGTTTTGAAAAGTAATAAGTTCTGGACAAATACAACAAAAGGAAAATGACTTGGAAATATGTTTAGACTTTATTTTAAAGATATTTTTCTTTCTTTGTCAGCTTTTAAAATGACAAAAGTCAAATGGCAAACAGATTTATATTGAATTCAGATGCTTTATATTTCCACATCACTCACTGATTGGCATGATTTAATTGATCAATATTTTAGTTTCTTAGGGAATCAAAAAAGTCAATTCCACTTTAGGGAGCTTTAAGTTCAGGTGGGTCTGGAACTGTGGTCCAAAATGCCAAACGCTGCTGCTTTCTGAAATTGTTGTAAAGAAAAAAAAGTTACCAAAGTTGAAAACTCCTTTAAAAAAAATCAAGATTTAGTCTAAGATAGTCCAGTAGTTGTAGATGTTTTAAGTTTTTAAAAGAGCTTCTTCAAAAACCATAAAAGACTCAACAACTGAAAACTGGAATCCAGTTTTAGCATTGGGTTGATAACATGCAGATCACTTGAGACCAACATTAATATTTAGTCCAGGATGGAAACTGGAGGAGCCTGTGTTCATGACTCATATGTGGCGTTTAGTTTATCTTATGAAACTAAACACCATCTTGAGAGAGATTTTTTTCTTCAAACATTCAGTTTCTCTCAATTATGGGTGAGCAATGCCTCAAAATAACCTGATGACTCCCAACCCACTTCTCCGTCCTGCTCAGAGCATAACGTCACCCAGCCTCGTCTGACAGCTCCAATTGTTCCACACTTTTTATTTATTTCTCTGACTGGGCAAGTTTGGACGAGCAGTTTCTTGATGAACACACAGCTGCTACTTGAATGGCATGTGTTCTTGTCTTTCCTGTTTTTAATTATGACTGAGGAAAACTGGCCTGCATATAATTTCATAATCATGCTTAGGACAATAGGATTCAGTTTCTCGATACTCTTAGCTTTCAAAGTTGAGCATTAATTACTAAATTACTGACGGAGGGTTCTGTACATGTTTTGTCTTTCCTCCATATTTTTGTGATTGTCTGATTGTTCTAAAAGATGAGTAAATGTTTGGGCTCTAATGTTAAAAACTGCTGTTTGCAGCAGAATGGTCCCTCAATGTCAGGTTTAAGGCTGAATAAGACAAACTTGGCCATGCAGAGGCTTTCCGCCATCAGTCCTGCGCAGCCTGACTGACTGGTGCTGATCCCTGTTCCACTAAGGTCGGGTCAGGCCTGCCTGTCAAGTTTCACAGCAGCAGCTTGTCTTCATACGGAGCCCGTCTGGTGACATGGGAGAAAAAATAAAAATTATAGTGACCACGACTTAGTAACTTGTGGGAAATAATTAATTATAACAAGTCGCGGTCTTGAGTTTTTTGTTTCAGTAGGAACGCTGCAACTGTTTCTTTGTAAAGATACAATTGTTTGGGAGTAAAAGCG